CGTGGGGTTGTTGTGACCAAAGCGCAGGACTCAGCCCTTGGCCTTGTTGACCCTCATACCGTTACAGACGGGCTCAAATCAGCTATTTTCTCTTTACAGGTTGCCCGTAAACTGGTTATTTTGGAAGGTGAACTGGAAAGAGCTGAAGAGCGTGCAGAGGTGTCCGAAGTGTGAGTAACTTCAGATACATGGACGCCGTTTCGGATACAGTAAAGCCCCAAGCTGTGTCTGTTTCAGTACAAAAATCTACCACTGGTAGGCAGGCGTGCAGTGTACGTCGAAAAGCTTTTTTGTACCCTGTACACCCAGTTCTTTCCTTTCAGACTTAATGATTGCTTAATCCCTGGTACTTTGAGACTTCTGGAAAATTAAGTCACAGCAGGGACAGTAGGAAGTTACACTTTTTTTTCTCCCCCTCTATAGTAAATGCAGTGACCTCGAGGAGGAGTTAAAGAACGTCACCAACAACCTGAAGTCTTTGGAAGCTCAATCTGAAAAGGTCGGTTCCTTCTGCAAACTGAGGGATAGGGGCGATGTCAAAATGTGTAAATTAAGATCCCCGGGAATAACCCAGAGGTACAACGGGAGAGGGTCCAGCCGAGTGCCCGCTGGGCAGGGTCTGGCTGTTGCTGACGCTCAATCAGTTCTGCCCAAACCCGAGTCAGTCCAGACCAGGGCCGAACCCCCGCCCCTCGCAGGCCAGCCCGCTGCTGACCGCTCCGGATTTTCTGATCTTGCTCTTTTTGTGGCCGTGGCCCTCGACCACGCAAATTGTCAAAACTCTTGATTTCGTTAAACAGGCATTTCGGGCTGGCTTGGTGGTGGGGAAGCCTTCACGCGCTCTTGCACGTTCAGCAAAGGCGAGAGCTGACGCGCGAAGGCGCTTGGGCACCCCCAGCCTTAAACTGGCGGTTTATGACCCAAGTCTGAAATGCCTTGGAGAGGGGGGAAAGTACAGCAAGGATGTTTGCAGCCGCTGGGAAAGGAAAAGTGCTTATAAATAGGTTGTGGTTTCATAAACATTTATTATTGTTGCTACAACTTCCCTTAAAGAGTATTTATTGTTTTCACAGTACTCGGAAAAAGAAGATAAATACGAAGAAGAAATCAAGATTCTCTCTGACAAGCTCAAAGAAGTAAGCTCGCCCATCCCCCAGCCACACCTCGCCATCATGTGTTAACAGCATACGATTACTCTTCTCTTTTTTTTTCAGGCTGAAACTCGTGCTGAATTTGCGGAGAGAACTGTCGCCAAACTGGAGAAGTCTATCGACGACCTGGAAGGTACGGACGTGCTCGCGTTTCAGTTAGAATGCTCGATTTCAAATCAGAAATCAGAATTCTAGGAGTGGGTGTGTGAGATTTTCCTGGGAGAGAGGCGCTCGTCGGGCGTATTGGTAGATGGGCGCGAGGTCTCCACTGGGACACGCCTGGCCCGGGCGGCACCTCCCGGCCGGAGGAAGTCGTCCTGAAAGAGCTTCCCTGTGACAACCACCCCGGTTTTGGCCAACTCCCAGACGCGTGGGCTCAGGGGCGCTCTGTGTTAATAACAAGACAGACCCCTACTTGATCTGATTACTGAACAATAATTTTGAGAGATTAAAGAAAAGGAAACGTAGGTGAAGCTTCTGCCCTGCAGCCGGGGGGGGTTTTGCTTTCGCACCGATACTCAGTCACGCGTCTCTTTTCTTCTTTTGTTTTCCTCAACCGCTTTGGCTGCTGCCTTCTGTCTCCGTGTCTCCTCCTGTGCGCCTCTCCCTCTGGACTGTCTCTGCATTTCTTGCTGAAACGCTCCCCCCGACCGATAGACGAGCTCTACGCTCAGAAGCTGAAGTACAAAGCCATCAGCGAGGAGCTTGACCATGCCCTCAATGACATGACCTCCCTGTGACCCGCGGGGGGCCGGGGGCCGCTCCGACGCGCTGCCTTTCTTACGCTTTTCTTGCCTGCCATCCTCTCACTTCTGTGCAACTTCCGCAAGCGACCCTTCCACCTCCTCTGTAAGAACTGAGCTCTCAATAAAAACAAGATACCTCTGCCGTTCAGCTTTTGGGGTTTATTTCCTTATAAAAGACGCTAGCAACGACACCGAAAATAAGTTTGGCCCCTCACGCCGGGGGTGGGGAGCGCTGTCAGGCGGGGCGGGACCTGGCGTGCTGGCAAACGCCCCGGGTTTCGGTGTTCCCAAGGGCGCCCGCGCTGCTCCTCCTGCCCCGGTACAAATGCTCAGGACGGTGAAAACTCTGAAGGCCGCGTCCTACAAATCACGCGGTACCGCAAAGTGCAAGCTCGTCCCATTGCACAGAAAAGGCGTCCCAAAACCTCACTAAATGAGAGCGATTACCAAAAAAAAAAAAAAAATGGGCG